TAGGTTTCAGTTTAGACATCATTAATTTCAGAAAGCCATTCCCTAATATTTCCCCTAACACCCAAATCATAGTTTCCCCATATTGGTCCCCATGTTCTTACCATATCTTGTATCTGTCAGTGCTTTGAATTTTCTTGGTTACCCATGTCCCTTCCCTGAGAACTGCTGCATTTTAAAATCACTAAGTCCCAGATAAACCCAGTGAATAGAACCATAGGAGGTGCTCAAAACACACCGCTAAAATGAATTGCAGAAGAAATAATTTCTGAATGAGGGACCCCTGATTAAAGGCCAGACAGGGTCCCCAGGGGCTTGTTTGCCATGTCAGGGCAGCTGACATACAGCCAAGCGGTGGGTTCTGGGAGCCCTGATTGCCATGAGCTCTTGTTGGCCTGTGTTGGCCAAGTACATACTTGGCATTCATGTTTAGCATGAAGCAGTCTTTCAAAACATTGAGATACAAAGGAAATCCATCCCATAGGCCCTGCTGGCAGGGGAGGCGTACAGTCTTCACAGCTCTAATGCTGTTGCAGGATGAGACCCTTTTCTGGACAGGGTAGTTACTTGTCAGCACCGTGACACTGGAAAACCACCTTACTTCTTAGCACCCCCCTTCTCACAGCCATCCGTGGGCTGTAATAGTGACTAGCCGGCCTCCTCCCTAAGGTGGTTGTCCCATCAGAAGAGAGAACAAAGCTCTTGAAGGCAGAGGCTGAGAGTGATGTTCCTAAGCTTCGTAACATGTGTGCGTGTGAATTTTTGTATTTGTTTCAGATTCTGATTCTTGGTTGAATAGGGGAATGGGAAGTCATATATTTAGTAAACATTCTGGGATTTTGAAGAGGAAACCAAGCTGAGTACTGGCTTGTCAAGTTGGCAAGGAAAGAGGTGGTTAAGTGATAAAGTGCCATTGTGCCAGGTTTGCTAGGAGGAATGGTCCAGTGAAAGGAAAAAAATTAACTGTGGCAAGACTCAGATGGGCCTGGCATGGCAGGCTAAGGAATTTTGGCTTGTTCTTTAGACCATCCAAGACTCTAGGGGCCTTTGAGCCAGTTACATGACCTGGTAAAGCAACATTTTAGTCTGGCTTTTCTGCAACAGATTCAGTCGTGGTCACTCCCTCCCTCAACCCATTACCTCCCACTTGTCCTGAGCAGCCCTTTCCAACCAGGGTGGCACACGTGGGTGACAGATGTGCCAAAACAGTGATCCCTTCAGCCCTGGGGTCACCTGAGTGGGGCCTGGGGTGGCTGGAATCCCTGGTCCAGCCACAAGTAGCCTCCTTCATACCCCCAGTGGCTTATAAAGATACCATTTTCTGTGTAAGAAGTTGTGTGAAATGGTTGGAAAGCATCTCTTTCATAGATACAGGCCCCTCCTGGTCCATGCCCTGCTTGCCTTTCAGGCTCACACCCTGGCATCTGCCCCACTTAAACCATCCAGCCATCACTCACTCCCTGCATAGCCAAGCCTGGCCATGCTGCCTTCATCTGTATTGCCTCCTCGGATGTCCCCACCTTGTCTGCCTGACCAAACCCTAGCCCAGGCTGACTAGCCACCCTCCCGTGTTCCCTTAATAAGCAGTGCAGACTCCATGTGTGCACGCACAACACTGAACACCACAGTGGTTTGTGTGCCTTCCACGAAAGGGCCCGGCACCCACTGGATGTTATATATCCAGTGAGGATATGCTGAATTAAGAGTTTGAATAAAACCCAAGAGATGAGGAAAAGTAGGGAAGGAAAGCAAGCACACGTCTATTTCAGTTAGTTCCCACATAGTAGGTGCTGAGTAAGTAGCTGTTTAATGAATGAGTGAAAGAAGAAATACAAAAGCCATTTTAAATGTGGAGTCCATAAGACTCAGTGCTGGCCTGAATGCGAGAGAAGGAAGGGTGGGGGGGAATAGTTCAGGCATGTTTCAAGACCACTAGCACCATCAACACAGCACCCCAGCTTTGGAGGCTGGGCCCCAGCTAAGCTCCGTCATGTGCCTGACAAGACATGCACCCAGTGAGTCGGCATTAGGATGTTTATTGCAGCATCATTGATAATATAGGCAGAAACATAAGAAACTGCCAAACTGTCCTTCAGTAGAGGAATAAATAAATTGTGGTATGTTTATACAATGAATAAAGTGATTATAATGAATGAACAAGAAACTTCACCATGGTTAAATCTTAAAGACATGACAGTGGGTGGAAAGATAAGCTAAAACAGAAAATATGATGAAACATTCTAGAACACCCTCTACTGTCTATTAATATATGCATAGAGAATAAAAATATACAAACATGCGTGGAAATGAAACTCAACCACCCCAGGATACTGGTTCCCCTGGAGGAAGGGAGGGCTCGAAGGAGGTGGAGAAGCTTTTGATTTATCTGTAGTATTTTATTATCTACAGCAAATGGGGTGTCATATTAACATTTATTAAGTCAGGGTGGTGGGTCTTTGTTATTAGTTTCTAGACTTTTCTGTTGGTTCAAAATGGTTCATGCTTTAAAAATTACATAAAATTCACACAGGAGAAAAGGCTGGGTAACTGGAAAGAGCCCACGTTTCTGCATTTAGTCGTATGTTCTAGACACCCCCTTCCTTTCAACCAGCGTGGCAGATAGGGTGGAATCATCTCTGCCGCATAGGACTCACCAAGTCTTAACACTATTTAAAACCATTAATTCTTAGTTTTGTCTCCAGAGACTGCTAGGCCTACCACTGACATCTCTAGAGGCTTCCAAATATACATTAATATCTTTCATCATTGTCTATAGCCTCCCCTCCATTTTTTCTACATATGGGAGCATCTGTCCAACCTGATTAGAATTAGTTTCTGCAAATAAAACTTAATGAAATTCTCTTCCACTGGAATCTATTCTCTTGAATCCCTCACTATAGTCTCTTGGGCTGTAACTTTGCAAATTTTTCTCTCCTTTGTTCCCGAAAGAAGCAATCAGATAATACACTTGTGGCAAACTTTACTATTTCTAAACTTGCTTCTGTGTTTGGGGAACAGTTTCAGTGGCGTGCTAAAGCGAGCTCACACGGACTCGGGGAGGGCCAGTCGTGGGCAGTTCTCCCCAACTAGGTGTTCAGGGAGAGCACGCTGGTAGCTTGAAATGGGCCACAAATGGGGGTATTGATACCACGGGAATCCGCAAATGCTACAAATCAAGGTGCTCCCTCCCCCTCGCCCACCACCCCGCAACCTGGGAAACTGGTGGTTAAACATTCACCTGCCTACCACTAGGGGGCGTAGTAGCTTTCTGAGTTGGGCAGGGCAAGTAGCGTTTTCCTCATTTAAACATGTAGAAACCAAAAAAGGAGAGTCTTGGCCTGAGTCACAGGGCTCCAAAGAGGCATTGCCAGGCCCTGGTCTGTGTGGTGTGGGTGAAGCAGCACTGTCTTTGGAGTCGGGCAGACCTGAGTTTGAATCAGGTGTAGACACTGGTTTTGTGACTTGTTCAAGCATCTGACTGAGCCCCTCGGCTCCCCTACCTGTAAAACAGAATGACAATATCTAGCTTGTAACGATCTTGTCACATTAAGTGAAATGTGTGCATAAAGACCTAACAGCACAAAGGAGATATGGAACCGATGCAATTTGCCCTTTTAACTCACAAGGTCAGATCCATGTATTATTCCATTATTCCCATAGCCATTATATAGAGAGATGCATATTTTTTTCAAATGTCAGTTCTACCCGACCTTTTCACTAAATGGCAAATAACTTTTCTTTCAAATATATGCCACTGGATAAAGTAAAAAATCTCAGAGTTGACATGTATGTGGGATTTGGGGCATCAATTTCTTTCCAGCAATCTTAGAAACGTATGTACTAGGTACCAACTAAGATCATTTTTCAGCTGCCTGGACTTTTCTCCACTGGCCTTTCTGCTGAGCTAAGCATCCTGAGGAGGACTGATGTGGAGGCCCATGGGTGCTGCACTTCCGTCCACCAATCTGTGTTCATCCATTAGCCGCAGGGACCTGCGGGGAAATTCTCTTGCTCTCTGTGTTCCGCGCTCTCTCACTGACCTGGTAGCAGATAACTGCTTCTAAGTCATTCAGCTAAGCCAAAACGTACTTTTCTTTTTAGACTCTTATTAGTTAATTTATTGTTGCCTGAGTTACACATTAAGTTGCTGTCACATTTTTAAAAATACAAAAGGGTATACAGGGGCAGTTTCTCTAGCTACACAATCCGCCGTTCACCCGGTTCCCTTCGCATAAAAACTGACAGCAAAAAAATGAAGGGGAAGAGGAAGAAGCAATTTATTATTATTAGTTTCTTAAGAACCCAAGGATTTTTGGAGCTCTTCTTAATGACCCAGTATCAACCCCACCTTCCCTGTAGTTTACGTATGTGTTGATCGTCATGGGCCAGAGAAGACCGCTGAAACTGGGAACACTGAAACGAGCATTATGGCTTATCCGTAAACATAAAGTAGATTGGCAAGACTTACCCAGAATAAAATCATAGAGGGGCTATTTTGTTGTCTCTAAAGATAAGCAGCATATATTGTACAAACATTGTCCATCAGCTAAACTTAGGCAAGTTGTCATTCCCTGGGCGAAAAACACAGGAGAGATCTGAATGCTTATAGGGACTGCGTTGCATATCAGGTGCACTGCTGGCCTCTTTTGAAAATTACTGTGGGTAAAACATATAATATAAATACACCGTTTTAGCCATCTTTAAGTGTCCAAGTCATTGGCATTCAGGACATTCACATGGTTGTGCCACTATCACTGCCATCTATCTCCAGGAGGCACAGGGCTCTTCTGCCCACGTCACTTCCTTCTTGCAGCAGCCTTGAGGTCTGTGCTAATGTTCCCTTGCATAAGAATGTTTCACAGAGATTGTTTAACGTCTCCTACGGAGTAACTGGCAAAGGATGGGGTTGAACCCAGGTGTGTTCATCCCAAAGCACATGCACAAGTATCTTTGACTCTGTCTTAACTGCTGTCTTTCCCTCCTGCATCTGCGCTGTTGCCCAGGAGTGATCCTGCTGCTTCTGGATAAGCTGCGGAAGATGAAATGGGAGCAGATGTGGCGGCTGACTGCAGAGAGAGAGCTGATGGGCATGCTCTCCACATCCTTAGCTGACCAGGTGAGTGGCCAGGTTAGAAGGTACTATTACTCCTAGGCACCCGGCTGTTGTTCCTCAAAAGAACTTGAAAGGAGATGGGTCGGAATTATTTTTCTACCTATTGGGCAACAATATACTTGGCTAGAACTGCCTTCCACTTGCCAGTCTAAGACAACTAACTGCTCAGCTCGTTAGTTCATTCCCTTTATTCATTCATTTGTTCACTCAGAGGACTTTCATCACACCCTGTGTATGCCAGGGGCTGTGTTCAGGAGGAGGATTACACAGATGAATGAAGGATGCAGCCCTGGCCTCAGAGAGTTCAGTTTATCGAAGCCAACTCCTACGTAAATGACAATTGGGTGTGTTAAGAGGAGGTCGCCGCCTCCTTCTCAGTGTGGAAGGCACAGTGTTGCCCCTTGAGTTTCTAGAATATTTCCCAGACAAGATTTCACTTGCCTTCCTGGCAAACAGTCTAACTTTTAAAGCAAAGCCTGTTGTTTAGATCTCATACAACGGCCTTACCCTCAAGGGAAATGCGTGTAAATAGAAGGGACACAACTCTGGCTAAAGAAACCAGCTTTTAATCCAGGCAATCTGAAAAAGCCCACAAACTACACCAAACTACTAACATAAATTTAAGAAAACCCAATCTCTCATTTTTTGCTGGAAAAGGCAGGGCCTTGCCCTTTGTCTTTGGATCTACGAGGGTCACACATTTAGATTTGGGGTCTCCTTTGATGTAGACGGCCACTTTGAAATGTAAAGATGATGTCTCTGGGTTCTCTGCATCTTATCAGTTCCTGGGCATCAAAAAAGCAAGCTCACTCTTCATGGTTTCGCTCAGTGTTCAGTTGCCTGATTCACTGATTTCCTACAAAGTTTTCTAATACAGAGGAGCCAAGAACCTCTGTAGGGTTACTTTACTTTTTTTTTTTTTAGCATTGTTATTATTCAGTATTTCCCAAGCAGCCAGAAACTAATTTCCTTTTTCAAACATGAGAGACAGTATAATGAATGAGTCAAAAATCATCCAGGTAGATGTTTAAAACCTGAGGGGAAAGTCATCCTCCATCATCATATTTTAAGTCAGGCCACAATGACTCGAGTGTGTCCCCAAGAGCAAGCAATTGCATGTCCATGTCCAGTGAGGGTAGTTTATCCAGCCATTTCCTTCTGCAAAGGCCCATAATTCACCTCCCAGCACCACCTATCAGCAGCTAGTTAATAAGTATGGCCTGTTATGAGCGCTTGGAAAAGAGCCCAAAAGAGATAGAGCCTCCCTAGAACAGTCAGAGTGGATTTGGAAATGGGGAGGGAGTGTGTACTCGGGCACCATGACCTGCAGAAATCCAAGGTGCACAGGCATCATCGAGTCTCCTAAAGCCCCAGGAAGAGCTGCAGAAACGGGATCTAATATTTGTCTCTGCCCCTGAGTGAACGGAGTGACTTATCACCCAGCAGTTTCCTCTCCAGGAAGCTCAGGATGGGTAGCATAGGGTCCCCGATGAGGTGGAAGGAAGGGCAGAAAAGTGCATTTATTTGATATATTCTAGCTCTGCTCAGAAAGACGTTGCCATTTGCCCCGACGTATGTTTGCTGGATGGCACATTATGAAACTAGCAGGACCCATGAACTTCAAGTCTGCGCAGGGGCATTTCCCCATCTCTCTCCAAATATCATTACTTGGTTCCTAAAGATAAGAGGCAAGGGAAATGCCCCACAGGGCAGGCAAGCCTGTGTTCAGAGCAGGAGGCTCAAGAGAGGCCCTTGTACAACGGATGCAGTGCCTGGAGAGCCGGCATCATCAGCAGAGCCCACCTGACTGTTCTGTGTCTCTGGCTTTTATCCTCCAGGATATTTTCAACGCTGTCATTAAACAGAACCCCTTCCTCGTGTATCAGCTCCCCTGCTTCTGGAACGTGCAGCTGTCGGACCATACCCGCTCCGAGCAGTGCTACAGAGATGTGTCTGATCTAAAGGTAGAGTAAAGACAGGCCATGCTGGGTGTCAGGACATACAGGGAGAGGTAGCGTGAGGTGCCCTGCAGTGGCAGAGGGAAGCTGGATCTGGGAGGACTCCAGGGAAATGAATGGCTCTGAGCTTGGTGTGCAGTGTGGTGAGAGAGATAAGGGCACAAAAGAGCAGGAAAAAAATGTGCTTTCCTTCTTTTTTTTTTTCTTTTCCCCCTCTTGTTTGGGCTTTCTGGAAAGCATAGGGTCACCTAGTGTAAGAACCAGCTTGGGTGGGTATTCTTCTTGCCACCCGCCGCTAACTGTTTTGGTTCATGTCAGCAACCAAAATCCAGTCATTCAATTCAAACAAAAACATTTATTGAGAGGCTTTGCCATGTGCCACAGATATGGATATGAATAAGTTCCTACTTCCAAGTCATTCATGGCTAGAGGAGAGAAAAATGTAAGGAAATAAATGTAAAAAAATATATGATAGGTGCTGGGATAGTGGGTAGAGGAAAAAGCAGGCATAAGTGTCTCATTCTACCTCAGCAAGAAGGAACAGTGACAGAAAAGCCTTCATCGTTGGTCTCTAGGTGCCGAACACAGTGGTAGGATCTAGTAGTAGAAAGATGAAGAAGATAGGGTGTGTCAACTATCTACTGCTATAGATAATGCTGCATAACAAACTAGTCTAATAGTGGTTTAAATCAACGACTTATTTAGTAGATGAATCTGCAGGTTGGCGGGATGTTTGCCTGAATTTCACTGGCTTAACCAAGTGGCTCCAGATCAGATGGCCAGTGGCTGGGGCACCTTGGCCCTTCTCTAGTGTTTCATGAACAGGCCAGTCTGGCTTGTGCTCATGGCAAAGGAGAAATGGAAGAGGAAATCCTGGTTGCACATGAGGAAACCTTGAATCCTTGTTGTTAATATCCTATTAGCAAAAGTAGCTATGTGGCTGAGCCCAGAGTTAAGGGATATGTTAAAATTTCTTACCTACAATGGGAGCGCTGAAGAACTGAACTCCTCAGCTGTTCAGTGACAGCCAGGACATGAACCCAGGCCTGTTGACACCAAGCATGTTTGCCTCTCTGGCTGTATCAAAGAGGAAGTAGATTCATGCAACCATAAAGAGTTTATTTCATTTAAAATTTATATCCATTGCCCAAGTAACACTACACTAACATTAATTGCACACTTTAAAAAGGAAAAAGGAACTGAAATCTGGGCTTTCCTAAAAAGTCCATCTTTTCTGATTGGCTTTCGCCCATGCCCACATATTCATTTATATCTTATTTAGGGTCACGATGCACGTAGAATTTTGTGCTCTTCCATTACTTAGCCATTCCTGTGACCTTAGTTGTTTTCATATTTTCACAATATAAAGCATATTGTAATGAACAGCTTAAAGTTCATACCTTCCCAGGAGTGAAATCACAGAGTCAAAAGGAACCTTTTTTTTATTGCACTTGCAGTTCATTGCAGGATATTAGAAAGTATCTAAAAAAGAAATACCTGCATTAGTGATTCTTTCAATTAATATTTATGTAGTTTCTTCAGTATGTCATATACTTGATAGACATGAGGAAAATAGATGCAATATGCAGAAATATGAGCTTGAAGTTCAAAGGGGAGGCAAATAAACGAATCCTATAAGGAAATCTAAAAATGGTGGGTAAAAATACCTTTTAATGTTTTGAAAGCATAGCTGATCAGTCCATAAAGTAAATGAAGTTAGCAGAGGCTAGGAACAGTGATAAAGTGTGAAAAAGGATAAGCAAAAGTGCTGGATCTGACATTTGCTGGGCAATTGCTGATCTTTGTGGCTAGAAGCCTGGTTTAAAGGGGGGTAACTGCATAACTTATTGTTAAAACAAGGGAATGCTGTTTTGAGTTACACTGGGACAACAGACCTAAATCAAAGTCAGACAAACCATATATATAACTCATTCTATTGAAAAGCTATGCATGGAACTTAGAGTCCAACAGCAAGAAAAACAATTAAAAGACTCATGTCCATGAAAAGTGATATCCTCAATAGATAAACGTTTAAAAATATCCATAGAAGGAGAAGATAGAGATTGTTGCCTGTTTTATCCTTGGCTTTAGATGAAATAAGTAATGTTTCCTTGAGAATATCTAATTTAAAGCCTGTGCTCATATTATTTAGGGGCCTGAAAATATATGTGTCTGGCAGAAATGGAAAAAAAATGAAAGTTTTCCAGGCACCTGGCAAAAACAAACAGATCTGATCCGAAGGAATACTCTCAAATGAGAATTCAGAATTCTTTAGGCAAAGTCTCAAGAAAAATGAGTTCTCAATCAATAATCACTAAACACACAGGGGAATAAGTCACCATGAGAAAGAGCAGAAACTGCAGATTATACAATTAAAACTCAAAGACTGCAAATATTAAAATCATCAAGTATAAAACATATTTTTATAGTGTAAGAAAAAAATATATTGGAAATAGGATGGCAGAACAAGATATTCCCAAAGATGTATAGACCTATTTGTATCAAATAGTACTTTATATAATTATTGAAATTACAAATTAAATGAATATCTTAAGCACTAAATTAGATCTAGCTGAAGAAAGAATTCATGAATTGGAAGAGATAATATGAATACATTACCCAAAATAGAGCACACAGAGAAAAAGAGAAGTATTGAGAGGTTAAGATAATTATGATATGTCTAATTAGACTGTCTGAAGGAAATAGAGAAAATTGGAAGTGAGGCATCATTGGATAAGACAGTAAATGGGAATTTTCCAGAACTGTTAAAAGATATCTGTAGCTAAAAGGAAAGTGTTTACCAACCAGCTTAAATAAAGAGAAAACCATACTTAGACCTACAGTCATGAAATTGCAGTGCCCTAAGGAAAAGTGATTTTTAAAATAACCAGAGAGGGAGAAGACAGATTCTCTGCAAAGAAGTTGCATGTGTATAATGAGAGCTCTTAGCAGCAGCAATGGAAGCCAGAAAAGAGTGAAAAATAGTATCTTCAATGTGCTGGGAGGCAATAATAACCAATTATATCCCTAGAAAATTATCTTTATTTAATAATGATGATGATATATGTATCAGACAATAACATATGAAAGTCAGGAGAGAAGTAACTGGAATTCTAGTATTCTGAGATCATTATTTTGTGGAGGAAGGAGATGAGATATTAACTTTAGCCACTAAGTTAAGTATCCATACTAACATTTCAAGGTTAAGCTCTGAAAGAATTGAAAAAAAATAGGACGTAACTTATAAATCCTTGGTGGATGGGGTAGTGAATGGAATAAGAAAAACTAAAATATCTCAATCATTGTAAAAAGAATGCAAGAAAAGGGGAAAAAAGTGAAGACATAGAAAAAGTAGGGAAATACAGAAAGCAAGAAATCAAGTGATAGAAATAAGTCCAAATATATCAATAACCAAATAAACTAATTTTGGGATTGAAAAGACAAATTGTCAAATTGAATAAGAACAATATCCAACATATGTTATTTATAAGAGACATACCTAACCCCATAACTACCTGAAAAGATTGTAATATTATGGGAAAAGGCTAACAGGCAAATAGCATCCAAAAGAAAACTAGGGTAAATATCTTGATATCAGACAAAACATTGGTAGATACAAAGATGGTCACAATTTAAAAATAAAAAGTTCAGCAGGAAGATAAAGAATTTTAAACTTGTATACATCTCACGCTATAGCATGAGAGAAATTAACAATCTACTACCATAGTAGAATATTTTAATGTATCCTTTTCAAATATTGAAAGTCAGACAAAAAAAAACAGACTTAAAAAAACAGGAAAGATTTGAACTACGCAGTTAAAAAGCTTCATTTATAGGCTAAGTAAGGAATCTTGTACCTAATAAAGAATATACATCCTGAAAACTGAATGAAAATGTCAAAATAAATTGGAATGAAAGAAGTATGTAGGGAAATGTATAGCCTTAAATTTTGTATTGCAAAGAAGCTAGAAATTAATAAGCCAAGTTTATAACTTAAGATGATATATAAAGAACATTAGAATAAGTTCAAAGAAAATAAAAGCCAAGACATAGTAAGAGTAGATACTGATCAACAAATTGCTCAACAAAGTCAAAAGTTAGTTCTTTGAAACGGACCAATAAAATAGACAAAGCTATGGTAGGATTCATTGAGAGGCAGCAGATTCATTTATTCATTCTCTAAATGTTTTTGAGCCAGGAGCTCTGAGTTCTAGGAATACAGCAAAGATTAAAGCAAACAAGTCTCTTACCTTGTGAACTTTTTGATCCAGTAGATGAAGCAGAATTACAGGAGATACTAAGAGATACTAGGAACAAAATTATGTTAATAAATTTAAAAGCTTTTGTAACATGAACAAATTCCTAGAAATGTATAATTTGTCAAAACTGACTTAAGGAAAAAATATAAATCCTAGATTAATCTTCTAGCCTTTAAACCTTCTTTAAAAGTAAACAGCATCCCAGATGGTGAGGAGGTAAGTTCTACCAATTTTTTTTTAATGAAAAGATATTTCCAATTTTAAATAAACTTTTCCAGAGAACAGAAAAAGAGGAACACTTTCTAATCCATTCACTGAGTTCAGAATATCCTTGATACCAAAACCAGACAAGGAGTATATAAGAAAGGAAAATTGCAGGCCTTTTTTACTTATGAATATATAGATGCAAAAATCTTAAGCAAAATATTGGCAAACGAAATCCAACCATGTATAAAATAGATAATATATCACTGCCAACTTGGGTTTTTTCCAGCAAAGACAAAAATGCTTAACATTGAAATATCCACAAGTGTCATTCAGCATGTTAATAGAGTAAAGGAGAAACACCATAAAATTATGTAAATAGATGCAGGAAAGTTACTTGACAAATATTCATTTGTGATAAAAACTCTCATACACAGTATCTACTGGAAACCTGCTGAGCTGAACATTTGGTTAGGAATGTGCTAATTAATTAATAGAAAAGAACAGAGAGCCCAAGAACACCCACACATTTGTGGAAGTTTG